TAACAAGTAATTTCAAGTACAATTCTTCATATACCATTTTCATCGTGACCCTGGCATACTCAATCTGACCAACAATCTAGAGTGGCTTTATGTAATTTTTTTTTTATTTATGATAGTCACAGAGAGAGAGAGAGAGAGAGAGAGAGAGAGGCAGAGACACAGGCAGAGGGAGAAGCAGGCTCCATGCACCGGGAGCCCGACGTGGGATTCGATCCCGGGTCTCCAGGATTGCACCCTGGGCCAAAGGCAGGCGCCAAACCGCTGCACCACCCAGGGATCCCCTAGAGTGGCTTTATGGTCTACTACTTCCAATATCATCTGCCTGTCCCCTCACAGGAAGTGTACATGGAGAGCATTACTATCAAGCAAGACTACTGGCCATTTATTCATCCATCCATCCATCCATCCATCCATCCATTCATCTAACATTTCTATTATACCAAGTACTTTGTTATGCACTAAAGAATCAAAAGTAACTCAATCTGGCAGGAACCCAAACAAATATTATAAATATAGTGACAGTACAAAGATAAAAATACTCAGAGTAAATTTTACCACCCTACACTGGTCATTCAATGAAAGATTCATAGCATTAATGGCTATGCTTAATCCTAAAATATGAGTAGCAGTGGAGAAGGCATTCAAGGCAAAAAAAATAGCATAAGAACAGGGACACAGAAGGGAGATACACCATGACATGGTGGCAACTACAGTTTATATGTTCCATTAGCATAAAGTCAAAGGCAGAAGGAATAGAAAATATGGCCAGAATGTATACAGGAAGAAGTTCAAGGAACCAATTGTTTATTACATTTCAAAGATGGGAATTTAATAAGTTGCTGAAGGATTCTTAAATTTTTTTTTTATTTACGATAGTCATACAGAGAGAGAGAGAGGCAGAGACACAGGCAGAGGGAGAAGCAGGCTCCATGCACCGGGAGCCCGACGTGGGATTCGATCCCGGGTCTCCAGGATCGCGCCCTGGGCCAAAGGCAGGCACCAAACCGCTGCGCCACCCAGGGATCCCTGCTGAAGGATTCTTAAACAAGAAAGTGACATGTTCAGATTGTTGTTTTACAAAAAAATCACTCTGGTTATATTTAAGATAAATTTTAGTGGGACAGGAATGGAGGCATGGAAGTTGTTAACTGAAAGTCTTCGCAAGTGAAAAGTCTGAATTATACTAGTGTAATAAAGATAGAGAGAGAGGAATGATGATAAACCTAACATTATATATTAAGTTACAGTACATGAGGGGTAAAAGTGTGACTGAAGTACCAAGGGTGACTCACCTTTCTAGATTTAGTTCCAGCTGAGTGGATAACTGTGTCATCTACTTGAGAGGACACAATTAACATAAAAGGAAGAGCATATTAAAGAGTGGTTAAAAGAGGATTATTTGTCTGGACATCTGAAGTACCCATGAGACAGCCAGCTGAAAAGGTCACATATGTCATTAGATAGGCCCAAAGAATATAAAAACTTGAAAGCCATCATCCCATAGTAGGTAGCTGAAGCTATGAGAGAAAGTAAAATGCCCAAGAGACAGTGTGTGAAATGAAAGAAGAGCGTCAGCATTTAGAGGTCCGGGAAGGGCAGAGCAGCAGTGTTTCAGCTGAAGTGAAAATAAATTGGCTATAAAACATCACTTGTATTTTTATTCCACATCCTCCTGAGGTAAGGGATATAAAATGCATACTTCATTAATTAGAGTGGCCTTAGATTGGCTTTATCCCATAATGTGGCAGCCAGCTGAACCACGAATGCCCCTACAAACACAAGGAGTTGAAGTATCCCTCTTATCATTTCCATCTTCCAGGGGGTACACTCTGTATTCTTCCTAAAACTGCAGAGTCTATGCCTCAGATTCTTAGCGATCTCAGTTAAGCCCCCCTCTCCTGATTGGAAGTAGAGTGGGAACATCCTACGCTCCTTCTCTTCAAAAGAAGTTGTGCCTCAAAGTATATTAACCACTGTGCCTAAACCTTTTCCTCAATCTCCCCTTGTTAATATTTTCTTTAATCTCCTCAACACAACGAGGGCTTTAAGAGTCAATCAATTAATTCTTGCCTTCCTTTGGAACTGATTCAGTATCTCCCTTATTATAGGATATCTATTGTCTCTTGGGGCCTCTATTATAATTTCTTCTGTAACATCTGTCTCCTCCACAGGAGCATGAGCTCCTAAATAAGAAGGCCGGTATGTTTTATCTTTGTATCCTGTCTTTAGTGCAAGAAGTAGGAAAACCCTAGTGTTGAAATGAACATCTACGAGTGAAGAAATGACTTTCTAGAGTATGACATTTGAAACCCTGTTTGGTGGATTTAAAGTCACTGGTAAAGAAAAGCATATTTAATTATTTGGGGCAGAGAGAAAGAGTGTCTCTCAAATTCAGAAAAGGATTAATTGTGTTGATAAAGGCAGATCTTTTAAGTAGGCTCCTTGCCAGCATGGAGCCCAATGTGGGGCCTGAACCCATGACCCTGAGATCAAGACTTAAACTGAGATAAAGAGTCAGACGCTCAGCCAACTGAGCCATCCAGATGCTCTAACAGATCTTTTAATGCAGTAATTTGAAGCTGATGATAGATCCCTATCAAAACCTCAAACTGCAGAGATTTATGAATGGACATTACAAAAGGGGATGGTAGGCTCAGAGTTCAAAAGGATGGCTGTAATAATGATACTAAAATGAAGGTAATGTACTGATCAATCTTCAAGGCATAATTCCAGAACTCACTCTTAAATATAGGTTTGGGTTTTGTTTTTGTTTTGTTTTGTTTTGTTTTACTATGAAAGGAGATTTTTCCAGATTCTTAAGAAGTACATTTTTTCCAAACAAAAATTTATATATCTAAAAATATGTACATCTTTAAATAAACACTCTGAAATACTGGCCCATTTCTTCCAAAAAGGCTTAGATGGTGGACATTATTTGATGAACTAGTAAACAAATTTAGTTCTGAATTCAGGACTACCATGCACAAGAAAATGCAACCTACTTTTCACAACTAAAATCTGAAATAACAATATCTTATCCAAGAGACCAACATAATTCATTTTTCATTCTGATGGATATCTCATTTATTAGGCACAGAATTCACTGTGCTCCAGTGCCAAGAATTACTAAGCAACAGAACATATGTAGGCGGATGTGATGTTTGCATATTCACACAATATGACATTTACACCAAGATCAGAAGTATAGTATTACTGAAAGAGAGGAACAGTAATAGAACAAGAGGTAGTAATATTCTTTTATTTTATAAGGTACCATTCACAAAAGTCTCTCCATGATCTTAATAAGTAGCCCTCTTCTATAGAGAGCAAACAAATCCGGGAGGGACATTCACAACTCCCCATTTAGTTTCTCCTAAATGCCAAAAAGGAAAACATGCTGCTTGAAGCAATTTTTTTATGCCTTCTATAGCATAACACCTAGTATGGCGTGAATACAGGAATTGCCTATCAGCCTGAGCAGAATACTAACTGTTTTACAGCATCAAAATTAGGAAATATTCCAGAGTGTTCTACTCAAGACATTTCCCTGGGGACCCTGAAACCTGGCAACTTTCTCTGATAGGCAGCTACTTCTGTTCCCATGCTGCCTCTCTGCTAAATACAGGAACTAAAGATGACAATAAGGTTGAATAAATGTGACTATTTCCTCACAGGGTAAAACAACAAGCTCTCAATGCCAAACAATACATGAGCCAGTCCAGTTCAGACTGCTGTGTGGCTTAAGGCAGTTAAGCCACCACAATCTGGTCTTCCTTTGCAACAAACTATTCACATGCCCATTCCAGTTGTACAATTTCAACTTTTAATGCAATTCAAATGCAGATTAAGTGAAAAAAGAAATGTTTTCAAAGGAAAATCTTGAACACCTCACCAAGCAAGACAGGCCATTCTACACATTATCAATAATTCTTAGTGAAACATGATATTTTATGTAGGTTAACTTTCTGAGTTTAACCAGAGGTACATATATCTTTAAAATATAAAATATTTCTTCATATTTTTGTCTAAGTATCCTTGACCCATACCCTTTTATGGTTTTCCTGGTGGACACCATTAGATTTCGAGACAGAAAAGTTTCCTCTTTTGTAGCATTCTGCTACAATGATTTATTCACTAAATTTATTTTTAAAAGAGCAAAAAATTCTTGAAGAGGTGGACCCTTCCTTCCTTCCCAGTAAACAGATTTTATAATGGCTTTCATAATTTGCTTAAAGATTTAAATACGCCAGCTACATCTCCTAGAAGATCTCTTCTTATTCATCACTGTCAGAGTAACTGCACCAAACTACTCTTTGAAGGTAGCTGGGATAGCAACCCTTTCTCTTGTGCAGTAAGATTCCAGGTTCATTATAAGCATGCCACTATCCTGATTTTCACTTGGTCCTAATATGGGGTTTACAAAAGGAGTAAGAAAATTAAAAGGAAGCTAGCAACAATTGCTATATATTTTTTTAGAATTGCCTAAGTTTTCAAATCACAATAGTAAACTAACAACACCCGTATCTGTAAAGATTCCCATCAATATAGCAGGAATAGGGTAGCTATCATCACAGGGAAAGCTGAACAGTCGCTGGAATTTGTTAGAATGAAGCTTTGTGCACTATCCCCACATGGTCTTTGTCAACTGGATTGATTTCCATAACTGGGAATAGTCCTATAAAAGGATGGCTCATCTCTCCTGTGTTTAGATGGACCTGAGAGTTATTTCATATTAAAAAAATCCAATATAGAAAAATTTTATCTTCAAATTATTTTTAAGTAGTAAACTAAACTATTTTCAAATAAAGGCCCCAGGAGTGAGAAGGGGTAGGGGTCATTCTGAGAACAAAACAAAAGTATATTTGAAGTACTCTCAGAAAAATACTTCTACTCTTAAATCTCCAGAAGTATTTAATAATAATGATAACAATAAAAGTCCTCTGTTCTCTGAATAAAGGATTACAAACACACAAATAAAAGATCATTTACAGCAAACTCACCTGCTTCACTTGTTCCTGGGCTTCATCCGAGATTTCCTGAATAGAAGTTGCAAAGCTGAGGACCAGGTGTCTGGCTTTTTAACAAACTTGTACGGTCATTTTGCTGCACCCTATATATTGGAAAACTCTAGATAAAAACTTGAAAACTAGAAATTAATGTTATCAAACTATTCTAATGATAATCACATGATTTTGGAGTCACGAGGATTCATCACTATAATAGCTACCCTTCTATTTCTTTCTGCAGGATGGTCTTCCTGTTGCTCTGGTCCCCTATTTGGGGAAGAGCAGCATGACCTTTTCCTTCCCCATCCAGCAAGCTTTATTTGTTGTGAATCCCAGTCCTCAGGACCCTTCTGTCCTCCAAGCAATGGTTCTTATAGTCCCAGGCCCAACAACTGCCAGTTTACCTGGAACGTGTTAGAAATGCAAACTCTTGGGCTCCTCTGCAGATCTTCAGAATCAGAAAGTCTGGAGGTGGGGCATGGAAACCTTTTGTTAAACTAGGCTTCAGGTGATTGTGATGTGTGCTGGTGTTTGAGAAACACGGCTACAGAACTATGAAATTAGCCGGAGAAAATACATCAACATATATTAATTATAGATACCATCTCTCCCAGATAACATTTGCATTTTAACAGAGGCCTTCCTCACAGATGCAAACGGCAAAGGATTAGTGGGAAAGAGTTCTGGGACCATAGATGCTAAAAGGGAGCTACTTTGAACCACGAAGCCCTGTTCAAATTACAGCTTTTAAGCAATTGTGACTACTTTCAGCCTAAAAGCAAGGTCTAGAGAAATAGGTCTCACCCCTTGTTTAAAATGAAATCACTTGAAGTGTTTTGTTTTTATTTCCATTTTTTGTTTTTACCTTAAAATAATTTCTAGGCTAGGAGCTCCCCAGGTGAATCTAATACGTAACTGATATATCATCAAGTTTGAGTCCCAGCAGCGTTAGTCGGGCGTGGGGGGGGGGGGGGAGAGAAGTTGTGTGTGTGTGTGGGGGGGGAATCTCAAACTTTAGCCTACATCAGAATCATCTGGAGGAAGTGTCACCCCATGGACTGCTGAGCCCAGCCCAAGCAATTCTGAGTCAATAGGTCGGGTATTGAGCAGAGAACTTGGATTTCTAAGTATTTTGTTGCTGCTGGTTCTGGAAGCACCATCTGAGAATCACTGTAGTAACCCACGCTGTCAATCCCATTTGCCTGAAGTAGAGCAATAGATAGTGAGTGGGCCTATAGCCGGTGGATGTGAAATGCAGTCAGGGTAATACTTAAGTTCACGCATTTGTGAGCTGTCTCATTTACTCCTGTAACAAATACTGGTACATGCGCCTACTACCTCTTCTCTTTTTTTATTCTTCAGCCAGAGCTTCTGTAAACACAGAAAACACTGACATCAAAAGGAAATTCAATTTAATATTATAACACCTCACTTTTTCCAAGGTGCCTTATCTAACACCTTCACTTTTAAAAGCAAAATAGGTCCCTGGATAGCAAAACAGATCCTACCAAGTACAAAATCCATGCAGTTAAGAGGATTTGCTTTACTCAGAGGAAAGCACTCCAGATGCTTACTCTGAGTCAAATTACTCCTAATTTATTTCAAATTAATGGAGTTAATCTGATTTCTCAGTTTGCAGCAGATTAAAATCAGTAACTTGCAGAGTAGGCAACTGATAAAGGAAGCAATAAATGAAAGCCAATGGTTTAAAAATAGAGATAGAAAAAATGATAGAAAGCAAAGAGAATTTTAAAGCTGGAGAACGTGAGGACATATCTGAATGTCCCCTAGAAGTAATGCTGAATTCCTAATAGAAACAGGAGCATCAAGGCAAAGGTAAACAGGAAGATGGAAACACATGAAGATGAGAGCTCAAGGACAATAAATGCAACTTATTGCACTGGTCAGGGGCTGTTCTGTTGCTTTTCCATGAACTTAATCTAATTATCGTAACACTCCTGTGGAAGTCACAATCTTCTTTATGCTCCTTTTACCAATGAGTAAAATAAATCATGGAAAGATGAAGCAATTTGTCCAAGATCACATGGCTAAAAGTGCAGTGAAAATACCTGAGAGAGTTTTGAGAGCTGTGCCTCAGTCCAGATACTTGACTACCCCTCCACACCTGTCCTATCATAGCAGATTTGCTATTAACTACTTACATAATCCCGAAAAAGGCAGTAACCATTGAGTATGGCCTATGTGTTGGCAGGGAGAGGTTGATTAGTGTTTTCTGTTCTTTAAAAAATATATATAGGGATCCCTGGGTGGCGCAGCGGTTTGGCGCCTGCCTTTGGCCCAGGGCGGGATCCTGGAGACCCGGGATCGAATCCCACATCAGGCTCCCGGTGCATGGAGCCTGCTTGTGTCTCTGCCTATGTCTCTGCCTCTCTCTCTTTCTCTCTCTGTGACTATCATAAATAAATAAAAATTTAAAAAAAAATTAAAAAAAAATATATATATATTAAAAAAGAAAGATTGGTTAAAGGAGGGAAACATCCATGCGACTGGAAGACTACATGGACAATGTGAGATTCTATGTATTGACCAATTAGTCTTTATGATTTTTGCAGTTCTACAGTAAAAAATGTTTCCCAAAGAATAAAAAATTACTTTCAGAAACTTGGTCAAGAGTTTTGAATATACACTTTTCAGAACTACTACAGAAACAAATCAAAAGATAGGTTTGTTTTGGTTTTGTTATAGTGGTTTTTGGTTGTTGTTGTTGATTTGTGGGGGTTTTTTTTTGTGTGTTTTTTGTTTGTTTGTTTCTTTGCAATAGAGCCATCTAGAGCCAAATAGATACATAGCCATTGTAACTGTCAGCCAACAGCATGCAGACTCCATGGGAAATAAAATAACCATCCAAAGAACACAGGCTTCTGTTTGTTGAATTAAAAGAACAGTTCTATTAGCTCAGTGGCAGAGAGAATTAATAAACATTTGGTCTTGCTCTAACATTCAGCCAGTGGAAAGCCACTTTACAAAGCCTGCGGCATTTCTAACAATATATTTTTAAACTTTTGTTTGGCAAATTAAATGTGAACATTCCAATCATCAGGACAAAATATTTCAGTTAGTTTCAAAAAAAAAAAGTACAATTAATTAGTAAGTTAAGAATTCTGCTGACAATTCCTTAAATTTCCTGGAACACTCTTCAAGACTAGATAATGTTCAATGCATTTGGGAGAGAAAAGTCATTTGTGGGAAAGCTGCTCTTATTTGGAGAATGTGGGATTCTTAAGGGATTTAAAAAGAGAAATAAGAGTTATATAGGCTTCTCTGAAAGTCCCCAAATCCATCAGGTTTATGTGTTTATCTCACTGTCCCACATAAAGGAAATCCATGTTTATTTATTTATCTCACTGTCCCACATAAAGGAAATTAATCTTTTGATTAATAATGGCCTTAAATAATTGCTTGTTGTCATTTATGTGAAAATAAACCCTTGATGTTTCTATTGAAAGGGGGAGGCATTGATTGGAAAACTGTTAATACAAGTTTTCTCTGCCATCCTCCACAATCAAAGCACTTTCTCAAGGGCTACAGAAAATCTCAAGATGCTTTCCTGAGGAAAACCTGAACATCCTTTCAATTTACCCCCTCTCAATAGTGTAACGATTTCCTTCTGGGTGAGAATACTGCTATAACTTCTCCTCTTATTAACAGAATGCCAACTCTACCTAATGTTTTGGCCTTCAAAGTATAGGAAGCTCTAATAAGCCGATGCCACATAATGGCACCACGTCAGAAACTACAATGATTTTAAAATAATACCCCATGAGCTTCTTAAAAAAAAAGATGTCTGGGGATCCCTGGGTGGCGCAGCGGTTTGGCGCCTGTCTTTCGCCCAGGGCACGATCCTGGAGACCCGGGATCGAATCCCACGTCGGGCTCCCGGTGTATGGAGCCTGCTTCTCCCTCTGCCTGTGTCTCTGCCTCTCTCTCTCTCACTGTGTGCCTATCATAAATAAATAAAACAAAAAAAATTAAAAAAAAAAAAAAAAGATGTCTGTATTTGAGAGTGTGTGTGTGTGTGTGTGTGTGCGTGCATGTGGGGGGGGGAGGGGCAGAGGGAGAGAGAGAACCCCAAGCAGACTCCCCACTGAACAGGAGCTTGAGGTGGGCTCAATCTCAGGACCTGGAGATCAAGACCCCAGGTGAAAACAGGAGTTGAATGCTTAACCGACTGAGCCACCCAGAAGCCCCTACCCCACTAACTTCTAATTAAAACTTTCTAGAAAGAAGAGAATCTAGGGGGAACACTTATTATCGATTCTAATCTTTTATCACAGAAGAAACAAAGGAAGCCTATGTTAATGAACTTCATTGGCTTAATTTCTCATTTAATAATTCACCTTCCCTGAACTATACTCTTAAATGCTCTGACCTTGAATTTACCCAATCTCTTTAGTAAAAAAGAGTCATATGGCAATTATGTATATTCTATAAATGTATTCTATATTTATTTTAAAAATACCATAGACAGCATTATTTCTTACATTACTCTGTACCTCCTACATAAAATCCAAGATGAAGTCAGTTTGTCATTGAGGAATTTGAGTCTTCCTATACTTTTCTCTTTTTGCCACAGTCTAGTGCAAAGCTAATGCTCACTTGATAGCAAATATGAGACTTCATGGTGAGAATACTTATGTCCTTGATATTGACTTAATTATTGTGACTTCCCTTTGGCATATGTGTCTTTAAGTCTCCCCAAATTGTTTGCAAAAAGGAGAGCATGCAGTGTGCCAAAATCAGCATTTTCTTTATCTTTTATGCAAGGTTACAGGTAGGATTTATTTTTAAAGAAGTTTTACATGTCAAGTTACTTTAGCTATTATGATGGACCTTCAAAAATGCATTTTTCTCTGTTATATTTCTTTCCTATTTTATTTTTTCCCTGGGAGTATAATCAATAAACAAGCCCTCACTATCAATCTCCAAAATATATAGTCATATTTCATTTTCAAAACTAAACACCTCCTGTGATGAATTACAGTCATTAGCAAGATGATTGTACAGAAACTTCAGGACACTCAGAATGACTGAGCAGCTGACAGAAAAGGTAGGAGGGGGCAGAGGAATTTCTGTTCCAATTACTTTCTGGTTTTCAAATGTAAATATTTCTGAACCCATGTAGCTCTGCTTGACATTCCATCAACCTAATTTCAAAAAAGTTTCCAATATTCTTATTGTTGCTATTATATTTCCAAATAAGGAGAGGGACCTTTCTCTCCATGCCATGCTTCTCCCCCCCCCGCCCCCGTACCTTCGGCAAGATAACCCTCCATCATGACCTTATCATCCACTATGTGGACAGATCCAATCTTGAAACGTTAACACCAAGAAGAATGCATTTTACACCTATTAGTATCATTTTATGACAAATTGTCTCATTCAACTTT